ACACACACACACACACACACACGGAAGCTCCTCTCTCAGGGCTCAGCCTGGCCTGCAAGGCTTGCAGGATGCTCTTCAGCACGTCAGAAGACAAATCCCCGAGCTCTGTCCTTGGGCACCTCCTGCCACCCCTCCAGTGCCCTTCAGAGAGATGGCGGCCTCCAGCCAACCCAGGCCAAGGCCGGGTGCTCAGAGAGGGAGAGAAACGCACAGGAGGAATCCCTGAGACGCCACCCACTGCGTGTTTCTCACGGCCTGTGATGGGAGCTGAGGTCAGGACTGGGGCTGCCTGGACATGAGGAGCAAGTGACCCCTGGGACTCGCTGTCCAGGCTTTCCCCACTGGTGTCCAGGGACCTGAACCCGGTGTGGGCAGGACCCCAGAAGGAGATGGGCTCTGAGCCCCGGGATTCTTGTGCCACCTTTCTTCTTGTCTAGAGTCAGCGTGTCCGGGGAAGGCCGGGGGGGAGGGGCTATTTGTCAGTCCTCCCAGGACCCCGAAGGGGCACCAGACACAACCTCACTGCCAGCGAGTCCACGCCGACTCCTAGCGGCCCCCGGGGGGTTTCCGAGACTGTAACTGTGAGAAAGTCCAGTCTTTCTTCCGCGGGGCAGCTGGCGGTTTTGAACTGCTGACCATTCGGATCACAACGTGTACCTGCCACACCATCAGGGCTCCTATCAGTCCGAGTCCTGGCCCTGATGCCTCACCTCTTTAATAAGCTCTCATTAGCCCAATAAGCCTCACTGACGTCCGCACTAGACCCCCTGGCACTGGGGCTCAGAGAGGACCTGGTCAAGGTTAAATGTTTTGTCCAGCACCCAGAGATGGGCACTAGAGGGCTGGGGTGCCGCCCATATCGTTGAACTTCATTGCCCACGCACCCTGGCGCCTCTACTTCCTGGACGGTGACAAAGTGACCACCGGACACAGACGGTTGGGGATAAGGGCCGCTCATCTGGTCAGGGGGGCGTGGTCACCCCAGGACCCCTGACTTGTCCTAGGAAGGAGAGGAGTCCCAGACACCGTCCACACAAGTCTGTCCCTACGACGTTTACAAAATGAGAATCCATGACAACCACTGTCTCTTTCTACTCCAGCCCCTCCTCCATCTCACCTCACCTGAGGCCAGGTGGCAATTGGCCTGGCCAATGGGATGGGGGACGTGGCCGAGAGGAAGTGTGGCTGGGGATCCCTATAATGGGACTCGTAGTGTAGCGGGGGGGAGGGGGAGGAGGAAGGGGATCGTGTTGTGCTCTGTCTGTAGTTGAGTTATTTCTATGTGTAGATAGGGTGTGGCCAGCCACTTCCCACCCATGAATGGCTTCTAGAATTGTCCCCACCACACACCAGGTGAGCTCATCTGGCTCCGGGTAGAGGACTGCCTGGACCCTGTATCGGGAGAAGCACATCGTCCCACGGGCACCGGGCACCAGAAATCTGTGGAGGGCGGGTGGTGAGGAAGAAACCCAATTGGAAATGTGTGCCATCTGAGTTCATCATGGGCAAGCCCTCCGGTCTTCAGCCGTGTGGATTCTAACCAGAGGACTCAGCTCTGGCAGATGCCGGCCGGGAGTGGCGTCCTCAAACAAACTGGCCCTGTTTGATTTCGGCAGGTAAGGACAGCTGAGCCGGCTTCTGCTTTTGCGGACAGGTCCTTGGGGCCGATTCACTCCCTCACTACCAAGGAGTCAATGCCGCCCGTGGCAGCCCTATAGGCTGTACAGATGTCTGGGCGTGAAGGCGCACGGCTCAGCACCCTAGCTCTCAATCGTTTAGAGTAGATCCCAGTGTCTACAGATGGGCCCTGGGTCTCCACTCCAACTCCCCTCTTTCCGTTGATAGGTTTGTTTTGGATCTTTTGATACCTGATACCTGATCCCATCGAAACCTCATGATCACACAGGCTGGTGTGCTTCTTCCATGTGGGCTTAGTTGCCTCCCTGCTAGATGGTTGCTTATTTAACTTCAGGCCTTTACAACCCCAGAGGCTGTATCTTTCAACAGCTGGGCACCATCAGCTTTCTGCACCCCATTGACTTATGCACCCATTTTGTCTTCAGTGATCACGTCGGGAAGGTGAGCATCAAAGAGTGCCGGGTTATCAGAACAAGTGTTCTTGTGTTTAGGGGGGCCTTGAGTAGCGGCCCAAAGTCTGTCTGCTGTCTTAATACTTATCATATAAACAAATGTACAGTGGCCTCTGTCCCTTTCATTATAAATTAATATATTTACATAGATACATGCCTATAGCTCTACATCTGTAGATAGCTTTTGCCTCCTATTTCTTTCCTCTATTTCCTTTCACCTTCCTCCTGTCCCACTCTCATGCTCACCCTCCACTCGGCTCTCAGTATTTCCTCTCAGATCCATTGCACTTGATCAAGCCCCACCTGGCCTTATATGCCCTCCACACCATCCATTTTAGATCTCTTGTGGTTCCCTTATCCCTGAGTCTGTTGGCTCCCCACACCTCCTCCCCCGTGTCCCCACTGGGACCGCTGGTCCCATTGTTTTCTCCTCGGGATTATTTGTCCTGCCTATCTTATACAGAGAGACGTAGGATGAAAGAGATTAAAAGAAAACGGAAAAGATGATAGATAGATAGATAGATAGATAGATAGATAGATAGATAGATAGATAGAGATAGATAGATAGACAGACAGACAGTTCCAGTCTGCCTGCTGACCCTTATGAGGTGCCAAGCCCTGTCCCCAGAGTCAGGGTCCCCCTATTTTCAGGGTTCCTCGGGGACTTGGCTACTTTGCTCCCTTGCTGACCTGTTCCACTCCCTTTGCGTTTCACCCCACTGCACGTGGGCCATGATGAGGTCCTCTAAAACATCGGACATCCCCCCACAGAAGGGTTCTAAGGAAGGGATGATTCAACCAGGGTGCAGCCTAGCACTGAAAAAACACACACCCTTCCTCTAGTTCCTGCATGCTTCCTCCCCGCCCAGCACCATAACCCAATTCCACCGTGCAAAGCTGGCTAGACTGGAGGACACCCATTGACACAGATAAGCGCTCTGGACACATGGAATTCAGGACAGAAAACCCTCGAGAACCGTCGTGGGAGTAGAGATGTCATGTGGGCGGGGGGAGTGGGAGGGAAGGGAGACAACGGGGGACTGACCACAAGGTTGGACATATAGCCACCACCTCCCCCAGGGGGACGGTTAACAGAACTGTGGGTGAAATGAGAAAATGGACAGGGTAAGATATGAAGTAACTATAATAAGATATAATTGATTAAGGATGCATGAGGGTGGAAGGGTTGGGGAGGTGTGG